GTAGCAGTCGTCGTAGTAGTAGTAGTAGTAGTAGTAGTAGTAGTAGTAATAGTCGTCGTAGCAGTCGTAGTAGAAGTAGTAGTAGTAGTCGTCGTCGTCGTCGTCGTCGTCGTCGTCGTCGTAGTAGTCGTAGCAGTCGTCGTAGTAGTAGTAGTAGTAGTAGTAGTAGTAGTCGTAGTAATGTAGTAGTAGTCGTCGTCGTCGTAGTACTGGTAGTGGTAGTGGTAGTATAGTAGTGGTAATGGTAGTAGTAGCAGTAGTCGTCGTCATCGTAGTGGTAGTGGTAGTACTTGTAATGGTCGTAATTGTCATAATAATAGACGTAATAGTCGTAGTAGTCGGAATAGTAGCAAGAGTGAGAGTAAGAGAGTAAGAGCAAGAGCAAGAGCAAGAGTAAGAGTAAGAGTAAGAGACTGGGGAGTAGCAGTAGCATGGCAACCGTGTAAAGCAGAGCAGGCCAGCAAAGTGGCTCCGCCTCAAAGATTGGTGATTGATTGTTCCAGGCTCCAAGACATATTCCAAAACCCGGGACTCCAGACCATGTCTCTGCAAAAGCCATTATGGCCAAACAACGCAGGAATTCCGACGTCAAATCCCATCCTCCACTTGACACCAGGCCCCCCCTTCTCCTTGTAAGGAATATTTCCAACCTTCTGGTCTTATAGTTCAAACTAATGTTTCAAAATGTCGGTTCCTTTTTGGGGGGTATCCATCCAGTCCTGTGTACATGTATGCCTTCAAACATGTATGCGAAGCGCGCCAAAGCACCGACACGCCAAAGAGGTAGGTACCAGACAAAAGCATTGTAAGGATCAACAACGGAAATTACACCAAGACTGCAAGGCCATGACAGGTAGAATGAGGAAACACTCCTGCAACACAGATCATGACTCACAGGTCGCTAGTTTTCCACTGAGCAAGACGGTGACACAGTACGAGCGGGTGAGGAAGCAGGCATGTTACTGGGATGCGGCACAGTGGCTCATTGTACAATGTCGACCATGACTGCCGGCCGTCCACCAAAGCTAAGAAGGGCAGCAGGGACGTCTGCCTAGGCTCAACTTACTGGCTGCCAGCCAGCCCAAGAGTAGCCCACATAAACCCCAACAATAACCATTACAATAACAATGATAACGTGAGAAACTCCTTTCTATTTCCCATGTCCTCATTCCCTACTCCCACTCAGCAAGTCAACGGCAAGACCCCAACCTCCCAGACCCCTTAGCAACCCAAACAGAAGATCTCCTAGGAAGTCCATGATCTACAGCCCAGGCACATCGGATACTACAATATAAAAACCCTCCATACGAACTCCATCCCCAATGCATGTTCCCATGGATACCACCAGATATCAAGGGAAGCTCTATCACTGCGGAAGTGGGTGGGTCTTCGGTAGGCATAAGAGGTCTGCTGGGTTCTGTCGTCTGATGATAGCAAGTTTTGCCGAAATTCCCGTTGAGCTGATTTGGAGAAGCATGTTGTGATATCAGACCAATTCCAGGTGCTCCTGTGCTGTGGTTTTGCAGGGCAACACATAGATTAATTTCAGCTTAGCTGCGCCTCTTTCGAAGCTGACATCTCCCCACTGCGACGTTGCACACGATCCTTGCAAGAGCTTCAAAACCTTGATCTGTACTTAAGGGACTATGCCTAGAGCCTTTCAAAACCCTCCGGAAAAACTACGGTGAAACAAACAGAACCTGCTCGCACCATCCTGAAAATTGTCAAGCCCCCAACGGAAACAAAAAACGGCAACAGGAAATATATACACACTAGAACAATGACATAAGAAGATACTACAACTTAGTAATATATTAATATAGCAATGTAGTCATAGTTGTTCCCTCCCGCTTGGCTCGAAGCATGCAAGGTCATATGCCTCTTTAGGCTGGAGAGTGCGTCGGAATTCGGGCCCATGTTTAAACAGTGAAAACAGATGTTTTCTACAAGTACACGTTGAGGATTACAAGCATAGAAGCACTTCTTCACATGTTGAATCGTTGTGGCCGTTTTTTTGTTTTGTGGCATCTGTACTTTTGCCATGGTATCTCCCGCGAGATCTAAAAGTTCAGAATAACATGGAATCTTTGTGAACATGGCCTTCGTACTTTTTGTCATTTCGTCTAGACATTCCTGCACGTTTCCTGGAGATTCCTACGTCGCTGGCAAGTCTGTAGGCCCAGAGGTGTCTTTGCGGTTGACGGAGACAAGCCCAAGTCAACGGAGTTTTCGGAGTATAGTTTCAGGAAGACCCTCAGGAGGCCTTCGGGAGGGAGGCCCTTAGGAGCAGGAAGGGGCCCCAACAGAGCTTCCTTACAGCTCCCCAAGTTTCCTTGCCCAAGCTCGTAGAGATCTCTCCGTGCTTTCTCAGGATCATCTGCTTCAGAGCTATCTCTCGTCTTTTAACATGTCTTTTTGCAATCCGGCACATCAAGCTAACAAAAAAATGAAGTCATGTCGACATATTCCAAAATCATTGCGACCTGAAGATAACTGTCATCGCATCATGACCCACATTCTGCAGTTTTTGTGAAGACCAAAAGTCATGTAGCAACGTGGGAATCCAACAATGCAGCACTTGCGATACTCTTGTAGTATAATGCTATACTACACCAGCAATATAACATCATACTAGTATGAGGGTCTATCTTGTATCTGATATATCTACATCCAAAAGGCACTTGGGGCTCAATCGAGACCCTGTAACAGACCCGTAGGATCGCTGGCCATAATGCAGGGTAAGTAGAACAGAGCTACACTGTTCTATCATGATAGGATTATACGAACCCAAAGAAGTACAGTACACCTACTCAACTATGAAGTTACGTTTTCAGGCCAGAACCGCAAGCCACCCTCCGTAAACCTTGATTCCCCCTGAACGGCTACAGGCGACTTGGCCTCAGTTACGAACCCATAATACAAGAGGAACTCCACTATAACGATCAGCATTATAATGAATCTAGGTAAATGCAATATAAACTTGAGAGCCGTCCAAAGGTCGCTGTGGAGCGCTAGGAGCGTGAAGGAGACGACAGGGCCAAGGCCGAAGAAGGCCAACTGGGCAGTGTCTTCATAGGGATATGAATCATGAAGGGATTGTGCTAACCCCACCGCTGGAACTAGGACCCTATAACCATCATATGATAGTCATAGGGTCCTAATGTTGGGGTTGGGGTTGGGGTTCCCAGAATCCCTTTGTTAATGAAAACATTGGCGCAGATATGTAAGGTACAGCAGCATGTTTGATTTTGGGCTAACGAATGTAGGGTCCAGGAGGGTTTTGGTTGAGCCAAGTAGGATTCTATTTGCATTTGGGACCGTAGTATCTCTGGGCAAAATTCTACTCAACTGGCCATAGACGCATGCCACTGTTCAGGGTGTTTAGGCGGTAGGGACCAGGTTGAGGGTCTAGGTTTGTGCGTCTACTATGCAAGACAGATGGTTTGTTCCTTTGTGGCTTTGGTTTGCTGTGGGAAAGCGCGGCTTCTCTAACCTCGGCGTTCCCGTCTGGACGCCCCTATAAGAAGGACCCAGCAATGTTCAGGACGTTGAGGGGCATCCTTATATTGACAAAAACTCCTACTTGCGAGGCATACTGAAGCAACCCGAGGCAACCCTACACGACTGGCCCAATCCAGGCCTTCTGCAACACTTCTTGAAACATACGCACAGATGTATGTAATACAGGAATTGTGAGCTTTTTTGGGGGCTTCGATACAGACTTCTTTAAAGGATTTGCTGAGATAGTGCGAGTTATTCCAGAAATTGTATGTGTCGCTATCAAAATTTGGGCGACTTTCTGGTGCCTCCAAACGTAGGCCTGACAAAAGAACCTGTATTATTCTTACTACTACTACTACTACTACTATCTTTATTACTATGGCTTTTACTATTCTTTGTATTCATACTCAGTACTGTTCTTATCAAAAGTGTCTCGGTTCCCATGAGGCGTTGTCAAATTAATCGCGACACATTTCGGGGCACGGAAGGGAGCGCGTGAAAAAGCCTCGATTTCCGTGCTAGTTGGCTGGACCACACGCACAGCTAAGTTTGTCTGCAAAGGGCCTAAGTGACTAAGAATGCTGGCAGCTTTTGGGAGATAATGGTGGAAAGTGTGGTAACCTGCAACTGGTTTGCGTTAGACTGACACCATGTCCACGAAAAAGCAAGCGAAGCCAGCCGAATAGAAGCCCAAGCTAGACCTCTTGGCGTACTGCTGTATACTAGTTACTATGGGTATGCCCGCTAACCCATAGTCCCCCTGAAGTAGATAGGATCTGGGGTATATGGGGATCTTATTACAATATACCCAGAGCCATATTCTATCTACTTACGGGTGACTATATCCACATAAATCTCTGAAGAAGATGGGGTCCTTACTACAGAAGCCCTATATAATCCCTGTATAATTCCCACCGAGCCCCATAGGAACCCGCAAACCATTGACCACGATCTCGACGGACCCCAGCTGAGCCCATACCCGATAGATTTGACCGAACCTACTTGGAGGGTCAGGGGCGCTGCGTCAGCAATGGAAAAGAAGTTGGGAACTATTGATGTATCTAGGGGTTAAGATTTAGGACTGAGTAAGTAGGCTATCAATGAGGATGTTGGAGGTTATCTCTCTGGCTTACAGGGTAAGACGAATACTTACTGCGTCCCCCTGACCCTCCAAGGAATGTCTTCTGACATTTGCTCTAGAACCCCCAACTATCCCTAGCGCGCTTGGAGTTAAACTAACAATGGGATGGGATGCCAGCAGGGTTTCTCAAAATCCAATTCTTGGAGATTAATTGGATTTAGTGACTACTTGAAACTGGGCTTTACAACCCCCATTATAATCCCGCTAACCCTACTTATGTAGGTTTTCCTAATAAGTAGGGCTATAAGCCCAGTCACAAGTCTGAACCCAAAACCCTAAACCGAAAACCCTAAACCCAAAACCCTAAACCCAAACAAACCCGGCCTGCGTGGCTGTCGTCGCAACCAATGCCCCAGCAATGCCAAAGAAGCCAATGCCAGCAAGTTCGGGTCGCCGCGATACGCGGGTGATGCCGAAGACCTTCCCAAAACCACCAAGACATGACAGCAGTAATAACAACAAGAATGATACTAGCAATAGCAATAGTAAGAGTAATAGTGGTAGTAAAATTGCTCATAATGATAGCGAACCAACCATCAGGACGATGTCTACAAACTGTATACGCGGTCTAGGGCCTAAACCCTAAACCCTAAACCCTATTTATTCATGATGGCATTCGATCCCTTCAACCGCTCCGAAGTGCCTCTCCACGTCCGGCATAGAAATTGAAGTCAAACGGGCATGCCATGGCCTCAGAACGTAGGCGTACCTTTAAAGGGGGGATATAGGAGGTATATGGGGATATTTTAGGGATATAAAGGGATGTTAGAGGTTTAATTAGGTGTCCCAAAATTAAGGATACCTTTCTTGGGGTCCCCATACTCAGGATTGTCCTTTGTACTTTGGGGTCTATACCGGGGTTCCAGTGTCTATGGAAACTACCATGTGTGGAGGGTAGTCGGTGCCACCTACTTTGCGTACAATGCCCTGCTTGCACATGCACACTTGTCCCGGAAAGCAGGAGAGAGCTTGGTTTAAGCAGCAGAGAAGGGAAAGCTGTATCAGAGCGTTTGAAAGGACAATCTGCATAACACGCCTGCTTGAGAACTCGTAGGTCACTCCTGAAAAATCACGCGTCCACTCTGATCTTAATATGAGGCCTTCCTAGTTGACGAGTTCCAATCACGACCGCCTCAGAGGCCCAAAGCCCATATGAGCTGTAGTCTAAACTCCTTAAAGGGGGTTATATAGGGGATCATATAGGGGACTACTATAAGGGTTATTAAGGGGGATACTAGGAGTTTAGACTGTAGCTCATATTGACCTCTGAAAGATGCCTTGTTACGCCACTCTGGGCATATGCCAAAAACTTGAGGTCACCACATTAATGCGCAACCCTAAACCCTAAACCTATACCTCCTACCATCACCCCCCAAAAAGGCACATCAATCCTCCATCGAGGCACTCCGCGCACTTGAGGGGGCAAGTCCTTCAGCAAATGAAGCCACGAATGGCTCAGGTGAACAGCATTTTTGGCCGGATTTCGGGTAGGGCTTCGGTGTGGTGATTCACACCGGTTCAAGGAAGGGCTATGCACACTGCGAAGAATAAATACGTTCTGACAGGAAGCTCCCCGTGCTCAAAATCGGCCGGTTGAACTGCCCGGTCATGGCAAGATGCAAGAGGATCTAATTCAGCAGCAGAGACTCGCCAAAAAAGCGCGGCTGGGTAAGGCTTATATGGGGGAACCTGCCCACCTAGAAATTCCGTAGATGAGCTAGAGTCTAAACACCTTAAAGGAGCTTATATAGGAGACTACATCGTGGGAGTATTATGGTGATTATTCAAGGGGGATTCTAGGAGTTAAAACAATGGCTCAGATAAGGTGGACGCACGGATTACAAATGGCAGCCCCTCAGAATTGCAGCAAAGTGCATCCGTGAGATCCAGGAGACAAGCTAGTAAGCGCTACTTTTAGTGGAAACCTGACATCTGCATGACCCGTATGTGTTAGCAACATTGAAATTAGAGGGGCAGGGGGAGCTCGATCGCTGACAATTGCGCGTTCTTGATGTACCAGGTCATGCACGATTTTGCCCATCCACCGTCTCGGAATGCAGTTTTCTGACGCGTGCGAAGTTGCAAAGAAGTTTGGACCGCGTGGACGTTTGAGACGTACATGTCTGTGTAGCAAGCAGTTATCTGACCGATGACCGTGTGACCGTTTGAGACATACAGGTCTGCGCATGGTAAGTTGCGAGCTTGTCGTGCGTGCACAGGGCAACGTGATTTGGGAGGCAGTTTATGAGCTCTAGCAGAAAACCAGAAGGTCAGGCATTTTGCAGTCGCAGCCATATGTGGCCTCTCGGGGAAATCCTAGTAATCTGTCGTCGCTTTTGGACCTCCGCTACTTTGTCACGTATCAAAAGTAGCAACAGTCACAGCGATGGGGCCCCTTGGGGCCGCCATCCTCGTGACTGTCGACGCTTTTGGACATATATGGGCTATAGTCTAAACTCCTAGTATCCCCCTTAGAAACCCCGATAATGGCTCCCCATATAACCCGCTATATAACTCCCTTTAAGGAGTGTCGACTATAGCTCATATTACAAACCTCTTACTAAGAGCAAAACCAGACATCATCATCATCATCATCATCATCAGAACGCCACCCAACAAAACTAAACCCGAAGTAACCCCGCAAACGCTGCACCACGCACTCTGAACCCCAAATCCCTGACCCCCAACAATGCCGAACCCCTAGTCCTAATAGGTCCCAATTTTGGGCCCCCCTAAACCCTAAACCCTAAACCCAAAACCCTAAACCCTTAAGCCCCAAGCCCTGGGCGGATCCTTCGGCGGCTCGTAAAGGCCGAGGGCGATCTGCAGAGCACCCAAGTTAATCGGAGGCATCAGTTGGCCTAGGCCGGTCATTTTTCTATTTGGGTTTAGGGTTTAGTAGGGACGCCTAAAGGATTATAGTATTTCTTAGGGGTCTATAGTACTACCTCGGGTTTAGATTTTTCTGACAAGGTTTGGGGGTATCAATATCAAATAGAAAGGAAGGGAACATGACATGAACAATTGGGATCCTGTGATTTGTGAGGTTTAGATTTGGGGTTTAGGACCATGTGTAACAGATCGTAGGATGGGATCTAAAGATAGAACTTAGCATTCCGGGAGTTGGGGCTACAGGGCTTAGGGATTGGGGCTTCGCTGTTGGACGTATTATGCCAGACACTATAACCAGAGACGAGCTGTTACCAAATGTGGGGGGGGAGCACCCTAACCCTTTTGAATCTGGAACTGCAAGATGCCAGAAGCACCCTAACCCTAAACCCTAAACACTCAGATAAAAGGGATTGTGCTGCTGTTTATTAGGGTCGGTTTCCTAAACCCTAAACCCTTCTTTTAGCTGGCTCCTGGAAGAAAGTTACGTAGATTGTAGGGCCGGCGGAAGATCTAGGGAGGTGGTCCAACTCGCGGCCAAAAGCAACGCCTCCTGACACAGGAAACGGACCAGAAGGCTCCAACCGCCTATACCTTGGGGTGCCGCCCCCACCCAGTAACAGGTAATAATAAGGGTAATATTCAGAGCTCTCTACAGCGATGTTACACATGTTATCCAACCCTCAATTTACCCTAAACCCTTAACCCTAAGTACCCAACCTATGCCTTTTAATTTGTACTTACGCTGCAAAACTGAGAGATTCTAGTTCCCATAGACATGGAAACCCCAATGTAGACCCCAAGATACTATACAGCCTTATTTTATAAGAACCTCTATATATATATATATATATACCGCCTAATTTGGGGAAAGGCGTATATTCTCAGCTTCCATGTCATCTTCCATTTTCTTGTCCATTTGATTCTCCATCATTGGAGATATATGACCCTAAACCCTGAATCGTGATTTTCATTTTGCTGTCCACTATTGGGGTTACATCCCTAGATATGAGCCACTGTCTAAACTCCTAGTATCCCCCTTAATAATCCCTATAGTAGTCCCCTATATAATCCCCTATATAACCCCCCTTTAAGGAGTTTAGACTATGGCTCATATGGGAAACCCCCGTGGAAGGCATCCGAGGAACTTAGCGTACCCAAGCCTAGCACACGGAAGCCAAAGGCAGCCAGCCGCTCAGCAGAGGTCGGGCTCCTCAGCACCCGACCATGACGGGCAAATCGCCAGTACCTTAGGACTTGTTTAGGGTGTAGTGGGTTGGGGTTCAGGGGGTAGGCTCAGGGGGCTTAGAACAAGATTCTGGTTTTTAGGACTTGATCAGCATGAAACTTAGTTAACGCAAACTTTAACGGGCAAAGCACTATTTTGTTGATGGGCATTATAGCGCTTCCACCTCTGCATTTCCTTTCGAAGGTCAGCACCTGATGCAATCTCATGCTAACTTACTTCTACTAGCTTTCTCTGCTAGAGCTGCGTGACATCCCTGTATCCCTGATTCCCTGCTGTAGAATACTGCGCCGTACGCAAGTGAACTGCACATTGATTGATTCATCATGTACTTGCCCTGCGCTACGCGAGAAAGAGCTACGCCTTTTGAGCTGTCTACCCGCCCGATCTACACTGCCTCATCAGCACCTGCATGCGCGGATGAACTTATCCAATAAGGCATCAGCAAGGCAAAGGCTACGTGATCAATCTTGCCCCTGAACTGTTGTCCTGTCTCCACATTCTGAAAAAGAAATGCTGCCCGCGTGGACGTTGCAGCTCGGCTGCGCCGCAAAGATGGAAAACGAGGCTAGTCCCGACAGCGTGCCTAAGATGCTGACATCAGCAGCTGGCGCATTATGCGAGATCATGGCAAACAAGTGTAGAGCGTCACAAGATGCTGCTGGTCTTCGGGGATTCCTTGAATCCAGCTCCTGATTTTCTTGCTGGTGCTTAGTGGGGAATAGGGGAATAAAATCCCTGCATAATATATTCCCTTATTCCCTTCCCTAAACCCTAAACCCTACATATGTGTAGATATGACTTAGATATGTATATATACATATTCATATATTCATATGTTCCCGCATCCCCTGCTAGCCCAAGTAAGTTGTTCGAAGAAAACGTCGAACCTTCATACAGCCTTCCGGAGCTGAAGACATCCCCACCCAAGAACATTCCCCTTTCACGCCGTAGAACAACAAACGTACTCACATGCTAGTTTTCAAAGAAATTAGGGGTGGTCGTTTTTAGGGGTCCTGCGATAAGGATTATAGTATACGGCAGCCCATATGTATTGGACTCTAGCCACAGAATCCTGAACAACAAACACGCTGTACCCACACTACAACACTCTCCGGCCAGGAGCTGTACATCGTCTGGTAGGCTGCAGGTCCACCGCTGCCTCCCCAGTACTTCTTGATTTCCATCTTGTACTCTGACCTTAGGGTTTAGGGTTTAGGGTTTAGGGTTCTGGGGACGAATATGGTGCGGTCTGAGGGTTGAGGTCCTTACGGAGTCCTAACACTCGCTTAAACTTTCCCTACGGAAGGACTGCTGAAGTGTAATATAGGGGCCGGAGTGATTGCCAACATAGTTGTGAAATTCATTTGTCTGATTGAGAAACCCTATACCACAACTATGCGCTGAACTTGCGGCCATGCTACTGCTTACTACTCCCATAAGCCGTACGAGCCCCACTATAAAGTCCTATACAACCTAGTTTTCATCTCATTGTCCATGTTCTTTTCCACCTTGTCTCCAATATTGGTAAGTATCTAGGCCCCTAAACCCTAAACGCTAAATCCTAAACATACAAGGAATCTAGGACCAAAATATTGGTAAGTATTCATGCTTCTAGATTTCTGTTGCGCAGCAAGCATGACAGCCCCTGAACCCTTGTAGTTTTCCCACGGCTGACACCTTCAAACCCTACAACCTTAACCCTAAACTTCCTAAACCCTTTACCAGCCTAAACCCTAAATTCCCACCCGGCCTGCATAGGCCGTTCCCACTGACTATTAGGGTGGACGCTCAGGATACACAGCAGCCTTTACTCCTATCCTGGGTTTGCCCCTGGGCGGCCCCTAAAAGACTCCAGGGAAGCCTCTCGGAGATGCCAAACCTTCTGGGAGGCCCATGGAAAAACCTCTGGGAGGGTCATAGTGTTTGCGAAGCCCTTGCGAGTGGGAATTGAGGCGATGATCTTGAAGCGGGACAGTCAGGGCATCAGCTTTTTTTTTGCTATGTGATATCTCACAGCGGCTGACAATGTTGAGAATTCCCTATTTCTCTGGATTCTTAAACAACATCATGTGATGGTCGCTTGGCGCAGGATGCGCCGCAACCCAAAGACCCGTGGGAGTAGGGTAGCGCCATCTGCTCATTAACTCTCAGCCGTGCGCGATGACACGCCCTTTTTTGCTGAACCCCACCCCTAGGCCCCTAAAGGCGTTCAGAGTCTGAGGTTTGGGGTTTAGATTTGAAGGGCTGGATTTAGGGTTAGGGGTTCAGATTTCAGGTTGGGGTTGAAAGGTCAGCCCTTAAGTTCACCGGAAGCCCATCAAAATTCCGGCGTCATCACGCTGCTGTCCCTATCCTTTGTGACTGTAAGACGCGAAGCTTCCAACGCCTTCCGTTCATGTTGTTCGACACACTGCTCCTCTAATTTCACCACCATCTATCCTCCACTGCTTAGCACCAGCATTGGCAGCACTCCCAACAACACGCCTTTGCGGCCCCACCACCTCATAAGTACCCTGCACAACCCGCCAGGCCCACCATCTGAGGTTGCCACATGATCAGATTCTCCACGGTGAAGACCGTCCAGCCCGCGCAAACCCAGCGGACGCCAGCATCTCGAAAGAAAGCTGCTGCCATGGCAGGTCCAACAATCTAATCACTTGGTCAAGCTTGATGCAGGCCATGCTTGGGCTTGATAGCAAAATGATATGTCTGTTGTTGATTTGTCAACGATGGCAAAATCCACCAGATGAGAGTGTGCTTCTGTGTGTTATAAGCTACCGTCAGACTAGAAATCCGAAGAGCTCTTATTCCAACCATTTAGTCTTGCATCTTTGTTCGGTTCTGCCTGTCATCGCATAGGGGTCTGTTTTCCACTGCCTAATGCCACTTGGCGATATCCATATCTCATCTTTCTTGGAGGCCACACCGTGTGCTCCAGCACCTTGAGCTTCAGGTTGCCAAATGCCCTGGTCAGCATCTGGGCAAACAATCATGTGGGAGTGTCCATGGGAAACTCCTATGCCGGAGCTTCTGAAACTGAACGATGCATGTTCCTCAGGGGGGGGCCGGATGTAATCTATGCAGTAGATTCCCTCAGGCTCACTTCACAACCCCATTTTGAGAAGCCCCTGACCTCAGGAACCTGCGAGGCGTTCAATTCCAAAAAGCGTAGGTGACTGCTTGCACATGTCACATCACCCGTGGCGCAGCACTTCACGTCCCTTTATATAACTGCAAAGCCGTAGCCACACGATCCTCCGCACACGGCCTTCCAAGTCTTCTCTTTTTAGCCTGTAGAACATCACTCCAAAATCCTAAACCGCTTAAACCAAGATCCTCAAACCTAAACCCTAACGCCCGAGACCCCAAACCCCAAAACCACATCCCAATCTAAACCCCAAAATCCGCGCCCAAAGGTGCAGTCTGAGATTTGGAGGTCCTCCTGTCTCTCACAAACAACGAACCTCAACGGCTTGGAGTTAAATGTTCAGGTCTTTTAACCTTAGGGTGCAGGATTCAAAACTTCAACTAGTTTTCCTTGTCTCGTTTAAGGTTTAGACCTTAGAGTAAATGTTCTGAAATTGGGGCAAAGAATTCAGGGTGTGGTGTCTACGGCCTTAGGGCTTCACATGCAGGATCCAGGCTGGCTGTTGATTCCCGCGGTTTAGGGTTTAGGGTTTAGGGTCAAACTCCAGTTCCCTCCCCCAATAAAACCTTCCACCCTTCCCGATGATAAGGGCCACCAATATAGTACCCTTATATTATGTGTTAGTTGAAATGCCTGGGCAGGGGGCGCATTGTTAATCTAGACCCCTGATTAACAACCCCGCTAAACCCTAACCCAATAAACCCCCAACCCTAAACCCAATAAAGTCTAAACCCTCAACCCGAATCCCTACGAAGTCGGGAACCGCGCCATAGAGAAGCCTGAAAATGAGGAACACTACACCACGGATCCCAATATCTAGGCCCTTGAAAAGGAGTGGGCTTATTAATCATGGGTCTACATTAGGTGGACCCCCCACCCAGTGATAGTGACTATAAGGGATAATAGGGATAATATTCGGGTCCTCTCATATTCTTATTATACCACTATTACAGGGTGGGGGGGTCCTCCTAAGGTCTACATTAAAAGGAGGTGATGAAGAAAAAGTGGGAGTTTCTCAAAACTGAAAAGCTCTCGGGATGCTAATTTCTATTTAGTCCCCCTTTAGTAGATAGAATATAGGGCTTACGGTTTAGGGTTTAGGTTTATAGTCCTCCTTAAGTAGATAGAATATGGCTTTGGGTAAATCATAAGAAGATCCCCGTATATCCATGTTCTATCTACTTAAGGGTGGCTATAAATGTTTAGACCTTAGGTGGACCCCCCACCCAGTAATAGTGACTATACAGGATAACGGTAATTATATCAAGGTCCTATTGTATTCCTACTACACCACTATTACAGGGTGGGGGGGTCCTCCTAATCTTTATTTAGACCCATACAGCCTACGAGCGCATTTTGGATTGTATAATGATGCCCTTGGACTTGGGCAATGTAACCCCTGGGTAGCACCTCCAATAGCCGTGTATCACTAAGTGCCCTGCCCTCTCTCGGGATCCCCGTAACCCTACAAAGTATCACAAAGCTGTGTAGATGTTGTAATCCCCTCCCCTACTGTAATCCCCTCCTCTAATATTTAAACCCACCCACCCCTCCCTCCCCCTTAATGTTAAATATTCCCAATACATTATATAATACCACAATGCGTGGATTTAATATGGGGGGGGGGTGCTTTTTATGTCTTAGGATTTTTGGGGAGAGGGGATTATTGCTGAAGCACCCCAAGTCTGTGCGGGACGAGCTGCTCACAGTTTTGAAGTCCCTCGTAGGCGTCCTTATTCTGCATTCGAGGCATGCGCATACGTCCCTGTTCTGGATTTGCGGCGAAAGAAAACGGGTGTATGATGGCAGTCAAGTCATTCGAAGAGGCATAGCCAAAAGGAACGCACCCAGCAAAGAGGTTTCAGCATAATTCTCAAATTGCACCTGTCAAGCACGTCCACCCAGACCCCTGGGAGGATCTAAAAACCACATCAACCTACACTAGCCCTTGTACGATCCCGATGTACTTCCCCATATGCTTCTGGGGAATCTAATGTTCAGATTTCTTTGGGAGTCTTGGGAAGCATGACTCCTACCATCCCTTCTTACGCCTGCTGCCCGAAGGCCTGCTGCGGTGCTCACCGCCCATGAAATAAGTGAACTGACATGGGCAACTTATGTAGTAGGAGTGTAACCAATAGGAACATAAAGACCCTGGTCGGCATTTTCCTACATTCTTGTGGTTCTCTGCTTCCGGGTCCCCACTTCAGTCCTTTTACTAGAGCAAGGCATGCAGAAAAACCCGCCCCGCAAAGCATGTACCATTGCAACTTAGTTGCAAAGTTACCCACAGGAAGCTGGAAGAAGTTCATCAACATCACCTGCCAGGCAGAAAAAAGAAAGACGATGCAAGTCTAAGACAAGGATTCTCAAAATTCGGGTCGCTGTCAAGGAGTCAAGGAACTTAAGTTAAGTTACCAGAGTATGAGTATAGAGTAGATAACAGGATTTCGTCACTATAGTAACTTAATTTAAATTCCACAGCTGCAGCCAAGAAATGGAAGATGCCTGGGGGCCTTCAGGTACGTGGGGGTAACTAGGAGACAATCGGGTCCCCGTTTGAGCTTTGCAGGGGGTTGTGTGACGAAACTCCCAAAGAGAGGCTGAGGCCAGGGCCATGATCATGGTGCCATGCCCTACGATGACATGGTTGTCCTTGGACGCTGGCACTTTCTGAAGATTCTCGGTCCCTTCTGGGTTTGGATGTGTGTTGGAAGAAGGCCATATAACATGCGCCATGCGCTTGGGGCCAAATTGGGACACCTGTCTAACCTTGAGTAACAGCTACTGCAACCTGCCAGGCAAGGGGAATCACATGGCATGGTCCCTTTCCGGTAGAATTAAAAGCCTTGCCGGCCAGGATGAACTCTCATACTTATTGTTAGAGCACCCGTGAGGAAACATGCAGCAAACACGTCTGATCGCGGGGTTCTTTGTGCACAGCCTCGCTGCCTATAGTCCCCCTTAAGTAGATAGAATATGGCTTTGGGTATATTGTAATATGATCCCCATATACCCCATATTCTATCTACTTAAGGGGGATTATAAATTTTGCTGGCTGATTTGGTGGTCCGTCACCTGGATATTATTGCTGGGTGGTTCGTGAGGCAGCGACCTCCTTTGAAAAATCAACTGCGGAACACTAAAGGCATGCGGTGTGGGGGGCATAAATGCTTGGAATGGGGTCTTTGAACACAGTATCCTTGAGGTTTCTACATGGTAGTTTCCCAGACTAAAGGGACCACCAAAAACGGGGCCCACCGATTTACGGAAACCCCTACATCATGCGGCCTTGCTTCTGCGGTCTCATGCGCGAAGGATTGGCGAAGAGACTGCAGGTAACTGGAAGCACGATCCCAACAGTCGGCTGGGCTTTCTCCCTCCTGAAGCACGCAAAGATGTAGGCACATGCTGACATTGCACCTATAGTAAACTATAATACACTATAATACGCTATGATATACTATAACGCACTGTAACGTACTAACTTTGAAGGTCCGATTTGATCCTGTTGCTTTAGGGAGGGAGGAGCTTTCAACATCAAGCTTCCCATGTGCTAACTTGCAGCACATTGCTCTCTCAGGTTCACAGCCAGGCCACGCGAAATCGATAGTAGAAGGCGCCAAACGCTGCCTTCTCTTTGTGGAGCTCCTGGGTCACGTGCGCGTGGGCAAGTAGTGCATCTTCAAGGAGCTCCCCAGCGTTCATCTATCATAAGGCTTCATGACACCACCTTTCATGGTTCCCTCTTGCATGGTTCATTCCAGGCTTCATCCAAAGCAAGTAACCAGCAGAAACAAACGCCGAAATGCAAAGGCTTCGGTTGTCCCCCCCAGCCTTGATGTCTGGACTGTCGTAATTCCTGAGCTGCAGGTGGCAAGAGATTTTGGGTGGGCGCCGCATTTGATCATCCTACGACAACGTTTTACTGATTGCGGTAGCATACCGTTCCTATTCGTCCTGGCATTGTTAACCCAGTCCCGAGAAGGATCTGACTGTGGCATTCTCCAAATAGCTCAGCAAAGGCCCCAAAATATCATGGGGAGTAGCATATGGGTTTCAACGCTGTGCTGCGCACTAGCGTCTTCAGGACACAGGCCAAAACCCTGAAGCCCTAAGCCTAAACCCTCTTTGTTAGGAGGCGCGAGTTTCAGGACACTAGACCTAACATCTACAGCCTAAGCCCTAATGCAACCCTAAGATAACCCTAATATAGCCCCAATATCACCCTAATATACTATCTGAAGTCGTGTTCATTTTCTTCTCCATGATCCCTATACCCTCCTAAACCCTAAACCCTCAACGCTAAGCCCCCTAAACCCTAAACCCTTTACCCTTTTTTTGGGCGAGCCAAGCATCCCAAACTCCTGCTCTCGAATGCGCACCTAACTTGCGGTTGCTCTGGGAAGTCTCTTGCAAGGGTAGGTTTTAGGGTTTAGGGGTTTAGGGTTTAGGGTAGGTTTTAGGGTTTGAGGCTTCGTTACTA